TGGCCAGACATAAAGATTGTACATTTGTTACTGTGTTTCTAATGCCAAAAACTTCATCTGAAAATATCTCCAACACTGTTACAGATTTTGCTTAAGGTTGACGACAATTTTGGAAGAACAATTGCAGTGTCAAGATATACTGTTGCAGGTCAAATAGGTGATACTGTCATTTCGTTGCTGTGACAACCCCAATTTTATTCCAACCATGATCATAACAAATTGTAATCTTTATCGAATGCAACTGTCGTGGCAGTTATTCAAAATATTTGTCCATGGCGTTGGATATAGTTTATGCTCAAACTTGTGACCTCAAAGTAAGTGTGAAATGAAGGTACCGTTATTGTACTTCAAGTGGCCGGCTGGACCTTTGCATGGCTTGGAGGACGATGTAAAATGGTGGTGCTGTGTCCAGTTGGAGATGTGAAAATACTGTCCCTTATTAGTACTTTCCTGCTCAAGACATTGACACTCATTGAACTAAAACGTATTTTTTTATTGTTAAAGAAACAGGAACTGTGAAACAATGGACCCTTAATTACAATGAAAGTTAACACAACTTGTGAATGTTATATGGTAGTTTTCACATGTAACAGAGTTCAAATTGTTAAGTACTAGCAATATTTTTTCCTAAAACAGTGAGATGAAATGGAACATTAAGTAGAAGAGAACTTGAACACAAAATTTGGAAACTACCCTGCAAGAATTAATATGAAAATACAACAAAAACGACGAAACGTTGTTAAGACAGCTATTGAATGTTGGATTATTCATAAAATATTTGATAATATTTTTGAGCTTAAAGAAAATGCAACGAATTTTTAGTAGTAGCAAATTGTGAAAAACTTTATGATCTTCTATCTGATGCTGTCTAGTATAAATGCCAGAGGCATATAAATGGTAACTTTTATGTATAGTTGTTGATGGTTCCTAGATTTCGACGCGTTTGACAATATTTTGGCGGTTATAAAAGATGGTGAAATTATCAAGTTGTAGCAATTTTTCAAAGATCATTTCATCATCCATTGCATTAACATTGGTCCCAATGATTTGAGCAAGAACTTTGTGAAATACTACAAAATGGTCAAAATCGGCATCTGACTCGTAACTTTTCTTGACGAGAAATTTGACTATCAAATTTTCTTTACAAACTGAATTTCTTAGAACGTGGCCACAGTGGTCACATTTAACAATTGCTGAAGCAGTGACCTGTTGGATCTTTTTCTGGCAATGAAGGCACTGCTTGAAGCGAGACAATTCTTGTATAGAATAAATGTAATCTACTTTCAAAGAGAGTTCCATAGATTCATCTCTTGGAGTAATACTCTCTGATACTAGGTTTGTCAAGTCTGAATCTAGTTTCTTAGTAATTACTGTGTCCCTAGTACTATTGAGTACGACTGTTTCTTTATCTCTCCGCAGTCTTATTTGGTTAAAGCAGTAGACTTCACCAACATCTACGTCGTCAATGTTATTCTCCCATAGGATCAGCTTAGAGTTGGCGGTTTCGTCGGCAGTGTAGCATGTGCTTTTCTTTAGTTTCATAGAGCCAACAATTTGACTTTCTTTATCTTTGTATACGACTTTGGCTATGATGTCGATCATGTCCATGTCTAGTGCATTCTGAAGGATTGACTGTAATGTCAATGTGTTGCTGTTATAGCTTTCTACGAACTGGAAGTTGTATTCGGATGTTGCTGGGGAAGAGAGCCTAGTCATGTCGTTAATGAAAATCGTGCGGCCGTCTTGTGAAGTATTGTATCTTTCGATTTTCAAGGCGGTTTTAGTTGCCGCTTTCTCATCGAAGAAACTTCTCTTAGAGCGTGAGAAGTTAACAGCAGGCTGGGTTGCAAGAGCTGTCTGAAGTTTTATGTTGAAGTAAGGTGTGGATCCTCTCTTACTACGTTTGATAGGAGACAGGTTTTGGACGTAGGTGATGAGTGGAGAAGTTGGTCGCTTGTTTGAAGAGGATGTAGAAGGTTTCTCCTTATCCTGTATTGCGAGCGTATCTTTCGATGGGAAAGTCGGTAGAAGCTCTGGTTTATTTTGATGATGTGCAGTTGGAAAGGCTTCATTGTTCAGAGGAGGTTCAATGGCCACTGAGTTAGTTACAGCAGGTTGAGTAGTAAGTGATGTGTTTTGGAGGTCGAGAGAGACTGAAGTTTCTGAAGGCTTTAGCTTTGCACTTCCAGCAGCAGTTGAGGGGCTTTGGTGGTTCAACGCATGTGAAGTCAGTTGTGAATGGTCTAGGTTTGCATTTTGAAGAGCAACTGAGGAACTTTGGAGGTTCAAGGAGTGTGAGCTTTGTGAAGACTTGACCTTTTCAGTTACAACACCAGTGCAGGAGCTTTGAACGTTCAAGGACAGTGAAGTGTTTGAAGCTTTTGTCTTTAGTTTGGGTTTGTTCGGGCGTGACATAATGATCAGAAGCGCAGACAATAAAGCGATGAACATCGATCAATAGGTCAAAGATAAGACAAGGGCGGGTGCAAAAATTTGTCCTTTTATAGTACTTAGTGGGATCGAAATTGGTATAGTTTGATTGGTTAACGTTCCTCTGAGAAAACAGGTAATTATAGTTGATGTGATGATTGGAGGATGTCAATGTATGGGCATTGTTAGATCACGTGCATTATAAAATGCATGCGCGTGAAGATGTTGAACTTTGTTCTTTTGATGGTTGTTTTTGTAGGATGGAAATTGGTGGAGTTTAATTGGTTAACGTTGGTGTGAGGAAAGAGTTAATTATAGTTGATGTGATGATTGGAGGATTTCAATGTATGGGCATGGTTAGATCACGTGCATTGTAAATGCGTGCACGTGAAGATGTTGGAGTTTGCCCTTTTGATACTTGTTTTGTATTGTATCAAAAGAGAAAGCTGCGAGCAACGTAAAAAGTAGGGATCGAAATCCTCCAATGAGCAGGTTTATTGTAATTGCCTTATTTCTGACAGGAATGTTGGCCAATGAAAGTGGAGCTGTTTTGATTGTAAGAGATACTTTAATATAGGCTTGTTTAACATGGAGCAGCTATTTTTAGTTGTTTAGTGTCATTGACGAAGAAAGATGAATGTATCTTTTTTGTCGTAAATATATATTGTTTTTTTTTCTCCGAAATTGAGTATTACTGTGAATAGCGAATCTGCATGAGATCTTCAGTTACAGAGCTGGTACGTGAGAGTGTTGGACTCTGCTCCCGCTCGAGGTTTGTGCGTGACGGAATTCGAGTTAAGCGTAGTAATCTAGTAAACAAGATTCCAAAAATAAGTTATGCACACAATTTGCACGTGAAGATGTTGGACTTTGCCTGCCTTGCTCGTTTGTACATGAGGGAATTCGAGTTATAAGACAGTAATCTAGTAAACAGGATTATCGAAATAAGTGATGCCCAGAATTTGCACGTGAACATGTTGGACTTTGCCCTTATTACTATTTGTAGGTGAAAAACGCACATTGTTTACAAGATTGCTTTGCTCAAACGATCTTAAGAAATTACCTCCTTTTGTAACATTTGCAATAAAAATGATGGATCATTCAATGTTAAAATTGATATCCTAACATCATTGAAATCATGCGAAAATAGTGATTTCTACTTATGTTATTCCAGGAAATGAAACAATAGGTGATTATTTAATGAAGTGGCTATTTCGAAGTTTATTCGCTAAGGCAAAGGTTGGTCAAAAAAAGGTCTTGCTGTGAACATTGAATTGTTTGTTGATGTTGTGAAGTTGTGCAGTGATCATCTCAATGTTGAGAGTATGGCATTGTGGTCGTTTTAATGTTTGTTAGACCACAGTCTTGTTTTCTATTTGGTTGGATCTTGAAAGGAATTCAAAATTGTAGAAATTCTGTATATTGTAACTCTGGATGGAAACTGCAGGACAGTTTTGTTGTGAAACATCACGGAAAATTCCTTGTAGTAATGTAGTATAGTAACGTAACAATGCTTTCTATTTCTGAATTTTGGGGTGCCAACAAGTTTTAGTAGTGCTGAGTTGAACTTTCCTGATTGTGTGGTCAACTTTTTGTTATGTTCAAATTTTGTTAAAATTTGCCACATCGGGTTGGGACAGATTGTTACACTCCAGTTCAGTCTATTGTCATGCCTGTCAGGCATAATGTTGATACTTGCATTAGTGAAGAGGTCACTAATACAATGAATTAGTTAAAATAAATATTGAAAAAGACATTACTGAAGTGGATGATTAAAATGGTGAAAATCTATTATTAAATGTTATTGTCTAGAATAAGAAAGATATATATTGTGTCCAACAAGAGGAGCATGCATGCTAATCTCCAGGCCCGGGTTGCTTGAAGCATGGTTAGTGCTAACCAGTGTTAAATACCATGGAAACCGATACATTTTGATACCTCTTAACCAACGGTTAGCACTAACCAGGCTTCGAGCAACCGGCCCCGGGTTGTCATTATGCATGCACCATATCTAGCAATGATTTGTCTGGACTTTTACTAACAGTGAATAGAATGCTGAGAATGCAGTTTGGTAATGCATGTTTGTGTATTCTATTATAGGTCTAAACTCATCATGTGTGTTTTAATCATTAATCATGTGACATGAAACTTATGCAAGTGCAGTGTTTCAGGAAAAACATTTTCGCCTTCAATTGTTGCCACCTGCATTCTTTAACATTTTATTATTGCAGGCAACAGGAGGAGGCTACAATCCTAAATGTCTAGGTTGTTATTACACAGGCGCTGTTGTCTATATGTGGCCGATGTTTGTTTGCACTTCCAGTAAAAATGAATGGAGTGTAGAAAATGTAATTAGGTTATGTGCGTTTCAACCTTCTACCTCTCGTAATGTGATCATGCATGTTTTGACCATCTGTGAAGTGAAACTTATGCAAAGCAGACTAATGGCGCAAAAGCATTTGTACCTCTGATTGTTGTCACCTTCAGTCATGCTCTCTAAACCTTTGCTTATTTCTAGTTACTAGTTTATTGTTACCTTTAAGTTTTGCTTCTACAGGTGTGTCGATTATCTGTTTAATAATAAAAATAAAAAATCTGTCATTATTGTTTTATGAATATTGAAGTGTTTAGTGTAACATTTGTGGCATCGTTTTAGGTGTTCACAATAATATTTTTGCTGATCACATTGATATGAATACTTTTGAAAAGAATAACAATCAGTGTACTTAAAAGTATTGAAATGTTATACTCACATGGAGCTGCATCCCACTCACGAGTGTTTTGAATACGTTTGAGTGCTATAAACAGAAAATGCATTTAATGAATAGAAGTAGACATTACTTACAGTTATTAAATATTATTTGTTGTATTTTGTTAGGGAATTGTAAGTGCAGTTGTACAATCCATAGTAGCTGGAATGCATTCTGACATTAAATGCAGTGTCATAAATTTTTATCTTGGTTTTAAGTAGGTGAAGGTGGGGAGGGGGGACTGGGGGGGTTACAATCTTCTGCTTCCTGTACCCTGTTCTCCGATTGCCCATACTTTTTTGTCCGTTTCTCTGCTGACTCGCACCCTTTATTGCGTTTCTCCCATTATGATGTAAATGATGGTATTTTTACTCCATATTGTAATAGGGAGTGCTTTGGCCTTGTCCAAAATAAAAAATTGTGTTGTAAATCAAACCACTCTACACTCTACAGCATGATTATTGAAGCGACATTCTTCAGTGTTTTCAATTGTGAACTACAGTCATATGGAGCAAGCTCCCAGGAAGATCTTTCATGGATGGATTTTTCCCCATCATACTGAAAATACTGAGACAGATCAAAGTGGTTTTCAATGACATTTGACCTGACTTGTGTTGTCATTCTTACACAGAATTTTGAGAGCTAGCAAGAGACATGAGACACTGACATGAGTGACACAGTCAACAGATGTGTGCATGTGTCATGCTATGTCATTCATGTCCTATGATGTAAGCGACTTGGAAAGGTTTTTATTTTCACAGGAAGTAATCCTGTGTTTTTTATCCCAAATACAAATTTTCATCTTTTTAATTTAGTTTTCTCACATATGAAATTTTGCTTTAAGCTGTGGAGAATGTTGAATGGAAGTCAAGAAATGTGTTGTGTTCATTTCATTGACTGGATGTAAGCAGCAACAAATAACAAAAGCTTGCCTTTTTGAATTTCTCTTTCATTTCCTGCTATTGTAGAGATCCCATTTCCTGCCCTTTCTTCTCCCATCTCCTGTGTCCCTCCCGCGTCTTGTTCCCCTGGGTTCCTGCCCCCACCCCACAATAAGTAGCATGTGCTTTATAAAAGTGAATTGATTCTGAAGGTATTTATTTAGATTCTTTTGTTGCTTCATTTAGACTAGCTTTTGCGCTAATAATTATGTTTAAATTATCTTGAAATAATGATGCATATTTGTCATTGTAAATTTATATTGGGGAACTCTCGTAGTTATTGCACCATGCTAAAAATGTTGCTAAAAGCATTATTTCTGATAGTAAAAGTGTGCTGTGTATAAAGTGCATGTTACACCAAAAGATTGTTGTGGTACTTATTTTTGGTATATAATTAACTTGTCTATTGATATACTCTGCTTTATTTTGTATAGATTGAATAAGAGAAATTGTGATAAGAATGACTGTGACTGTAAAATGAGAGAATTTTCAAGAATCGACCCAAGGATTGGTCGTCAATCTGCTTGAGCAAGAGAAGCTGTTACTTAGGTTTTGCCCCTGCTACTGTGTTAATTTCCTGATCGATGATGAGCTCAACTGCCTGAATAAAGATTGGCTTGATAAATGGAAAGGAGTTCCTATACTTAGAGAAGCTACTGCAGCAACAACCATGCAGGGATCAGAAATTCAAGTTCTGGATCACAACATGGCACTGCAGATAGTAGACCTGGTTGGAAAAGATAGCACTGTTGCAATTGATGACCCAATGTATTACTTCTACCCGATGAAAGATATTTCTGATGGTGAATGAGAACTTTACAGATGATTATCAGTGTCATTACTACTGAGGAAGCAAGACTTTAAAGGGACACTTCTACTTATAGGATAAGATACATCATATATGACTTGTATGTTTGATAGTGTGTACATCATGTAAGACATCATATAATGTCCTAAGTCATTCCCAGTAGGGGCTGGGTCAATTTTCTTTGGGGGGGGGGTTCATTGAAATTCTGTGCGGTAGTGAAAAAAAGACAGTCTTCTAATTTTAGGTCTCCAGAGGTTGGCATCTCTGCATTATTATCTTAACTTTTTCCTTAAAAGAGAGATTGTTAATGTCAAAAACATCATACATTTGCTTTAAACTTAGCTAATGCAGCTTACTTCCCCTCTAAATAGTCTTCTATTAAGGAAAAAACAACTTGATTCGAATTTTGCCATCCCTCCAGTGCATCATGGGTAATTAAAAAAATGGTTTTGCATACTGAAAAACTATATTTTTTTGTAAGATTTCAGTTGAAATAACCGTAGTAAGGAAAATTAGGGAGAAAGAAACAATAAAAAGAGCTTTCTAGAGTTTTTTTTTACATATTGTAATGCAAAATGGGGTTATGACTGTGCTAGTCATTGATTTGTTGTGCATATCATTAGTCTTGCTTGTGTTAAGGCAGCAAGACTCATAATCTGGAACAGAGTTTTTGTTGTATTTAGGACAGAAAAGGGGGAGTCATTGTGCAAGATGTTCCTTACAGAGATTGTGGAATCTGGAACTAAGAATTATTGCCTGATTGAAGTCATACATTTTTACAAAAGCTTTAGAAAGGTGAAGTTTAGGACTTTTCTGAAAGTTTGGAACAAGTAAAGAATATACTCAGTGGTTGAAAAAAAATACAAATCTTAGTTGGCAAAACTGTGATATAGTTAGGTCTTCTAAATTTTGATTGTATGCAAATGGGTGTGGTGATACTGCGGATTCAGCTTGAGTGTTTAATGACGCCAGTTATCGCATTCCTTATCATGGTTGATTGGTTGCATTACGAGGCAAATTGTCACACGTTGCTAGGCGGGGGATGATAGCATTCTGTCAGAGAAAAGGCGTGTTAAAGAATGTAAACATGTTAACCATAAGCAAGAGCAGTCGCTCTTAAATCCCAGGAAAACCTTTATCCTCTGACCTAAGACATATCATCATCGATAAAATCATTGATGGAGAAGGTAACCCACTAACAATGATATTTCCCGGTCGATTTGTAAATTTAGTGAGGGTTAAGCATGTGTCCATGTTAGGTTGCGATCCTCTGCTCCTGTCTCAGCCATGTTTTCTACTTGATCTCTATGGCTGGCGAAGCGAATTCAAAGACTCTTATTCTGATGCTCCTAGCTCCTTTGTCTAACAAACCGTTCATATGCAAGCTGAAATACTTTCTGGACAAATCTATGCGTCAACAGTTTCATCTTCCTGTACTGAAAGTTGCAATGAATTCATCCTTCGGAGATGGTGCACCTCGTTCACAATGCGTTCTATGAACTTGCTGTATTCCAGGCTCATGAGCTCTTCTTCTACAGTATATACTGGAGTTATTCTTTTTGTAGAATAGTAGGAGTATTCTATCTTGATTTCAGTCACCATGACATACAGATTGATAGGATGACGCGCTTTTTCCCAGACAGAATGATATCATCCCAGCCTAGCAACGCCTGACAATTTGCCTTGCAACGCAACCAATCAACCGTGATAACGAATGCGATAACTGACGTCATTAAACACTCAACCTGAATCCGCAGTAAGCATGCAGTTAGTTTTTGGTGATGATTGAAATGACATGAACAGTAAATCACTTTTTTGATCTGTGGCAACGATGTGATTTCTCTGCAATGCAGGTGCTTGAATTTTTCGGTATTATACACACATATAACCTGGGATTGCAGACATAATTCTGGTCGTAATTGCTAACACATACTAAATGAATTGAGAAACAAATAAAAAGTATCAGTGTTGATAAAGTAGGAAGTAAAAAACCTTTAACAAGTAAGTGCTGTTTCATGTAGAATTAATGACCTCCTCATTAATTTTGTTGATCTAGTCTTGAAGAAACTGATACTGAATGGTGCTGTCAGAGCATTCGAGTAGTTATAGATTTATTCTACTATAACAAATAAGAAATCATTTTTAAAAGCTGTACTAATTAATTGACATTGTGTACTAAGTATCATGTGATAAATATAACTTGATTCTTACTTAGTGGCACTTTAGCTGATTGTCTTTGAACTAAAATGGATTTTAAAAAAATGATGCTTCAATTTTATAAAGAAAAGACTGAAACAAACAGATTCCTGTCTCACTTTACTGTCAGAGATGCAAGCATGAAGATTTTACTGTTTTAAAAATTGTGTAGTGTAACGTTACAAAAAATATCCCAATTCACATACATCTGAATAAGAAGTGAACAAAAATCCTCAAGAGATTGTGGATACAAGTGGGGATGTTTATATAATACTTGCATAGTTATATTAAACTTGTTGAAAGCAATACCATAGAAGTAAGAGACCTTGTATTGCTTTTATCAGAAATAAGGATGGAACTCATTTGCAGTCTCTAACATTTTTTAAAATTATTTGTGTTATAGGTAACATGCATAGCTATGATTTTATTTTTGTAGCAAATCAATGTGTTGCACTATTTTTTTCTTGTACATTTGTGCTATTGTGTTTTTCTGAGAAATAAATGTAATAATTGTAAAATATTATGATTGATTACAATTATTCTAATATAATTATTAGTTTTGAGAAATTGTAAGAGAAATTTCAATTCTCTTCCTTTAATTTGCTAATTCAATACAAGCAATTGCATTCAGAAAGCAATAATAATATTATTATTATGATCATCAACTGTCTTTCCTCCCCCCTGTCTATGAATGCATACTGGTTAAAAAAATGCTGGGGTGTAACCCTGCAATGCACTACCATTCCATCCGTAAGGGAGTTCTTAGGTATGCTTCATGCTATTAAAAGTAGTATAAGGGATGGCTGTGTGGGCCTTTTGCTTGTCTACACCATTACCTACGTGACTTAAAGGTTGCAAAATAAGTTTACCTTGATTTGATTTGAAAAGAACTCACGATTTGGTCCACCATCATCAATTGCTAGTTCGCCACTAAAAGTAATTTTGATGGTGTTCAAGGGAGAGTAGTAATCACTGCGAGCTCTTCTAAAATCTGACCACAGGTCATTTCTTCGGACAGTGACCCTTATTTCCTCTTGCTGTACGTTTGCTGTGAGATTACAGATTTGGTCTTTCAGCATTCCTTTCTCTTGCACAACAGCTTAAAGCACAAAATGAAAAGAGAGATACAATATCTTAGAAAAATCTATTTACCTGCCCCTCCCCCTCCAAATGCAAAAGGTGGTAGTTTGAAAGTACATAGACAATATTTTTTCCACAAGAAGGTGGGTCATTAGAAGTAGCAAGCTACAGCCTTATGCTTACTCACTGCCCAAGTCACCACATAGGCAATTTCTAAACATTTACACCGCTTTAACAATAACCACACCCCTTATGATCATAGAACAATTTATCTTTTACCTTGCCAATAATTCATAAGCATACTTGCATATAAACTTTGATCTGCATATATTACTTCATCACATTGAAAACTATTTTTTGTAAGTAATTGACCTGTATATTAGCTAATGTTATTTATTTAACTAATTAAATTAAATTTGTGGTCACAACAAGTGAAAAAGTATGTTTTTCTCTTGACCTGTATGATTAATTAAGCATGGCTGAGTGGTTAGAGTGCTGAACTTGCAATCTGGAGGCCCCGAGTTCAATCCCTACCCTATCCACTTGCTGGTTCTGTTCTTAGTACTCCAGGAATGCAACACTTAGTCATACTTGTA